AAAAATTATTTGAGTTTTTATTATTTAAATTATATTTAATATACTAATTTAAAGTAAATTAAAATTGTTAAAATTATACTTTTTGTTTTGAATTTTGAAAACGTTTTATTTGTAGACAGAATTACACATTACAAAATATATACATTTACAAACAAACATACACACACTGATGCAAATAAATTGCTTATTAATATTTTATTAAATTTAAACAATATACAGCAATCGTAGTAGTTTTTTTTTTATAAATAAAAATTACGCAAAAGTTGTTGATTTTAAAAAGTAATAAAATTTGTTGGAGATTTGAAGTTTTTTTAATGTTTTAAGAAAGTTTTGATTATATAAAAATTATCGGTAAATATCAATAACAACAAAGTCTAAGGTCAACTATGTAAAATTTTCAGTTGACGTATACTTATTAATTTGTATTGTTAATACTCATACGTTTAGGTGGAGCTCATCAAAATATTTGGTTCACGGTGCGTATGATTAACAAAAAAACTTATACCAATTTATTTTTTGCTTCTGATTTAGTTCAGTTCCAGTTCATTTCTAGTTATGATTTAGTTCAGTTATAGCTCATTTCTAGTTCAGTTTTAGTTCAGTTCTAGTTTAGTTCTAGTTCAGTTCTTGTTCAGTTCTTGTTCAGTTCTAGATCAGTTCCAGTTCAGTTCTAGTTCAGTTCTAGTTCAGTTCTAGTTCAGTTCTAGTTCAGTTCTAGTTCAGTTCTAGTTCAGTTCTAGTTCAGTTCTAGTTCAGTTCTAGTTCAGTTCTAGTTCAGTTCTAGTTCAGTTCTAGTTCAGTTCTAGTTCAGTTCTAGTTCAGTTCTAGTTCAGTTCTAGCTCAGTTCTAGTTCAGTTCTAGTTCAGTTCTAGTTCAGTTCTAGTTCAGTTCTAGTTCAGTTCTAGTTCAGTTCTAGTTCAGTTCTAGTTCAGTTCTAGTTCAGTTCTAGTTCAGTTCTAGTTATGTTCTAGTTCTGTTCTAGTGTTGTTCTAGTTCTGTTTTATTTCTGTTCTAGTTCTGTTTTATTTCTGTTCTAGTTCTGTTCTAGTTCTGCTCTAGTTCTGTTCTAGTTCTGTTCTAGTTCTGTTCTAGTTCTGTTCTAGTTCTGTTCTAGTTCTGTTCTAGTTCTAGTTCTAGTTCAGTTCTAGTTCAGTTCTAGTTCTGTTTAGTTCAGTTCTAGTTCTGTTCTAGTTCAGTTCTAGGTTCTGTTCAGTTCTGTTCTAGTATGTTCTAGTTCTGTTCTAGTTCTGTTCTAGTTCTGTTGTAGTTCTAGTTCTGTTGTGTTCTAGCTCTAGTTCTGTTCTAGTTCTGTTGTAGTTTGTCTAGTCTGTTCTAGTTCTGTTCTAGATCTGTTCTAGTTCTGTTCTAGTTCTGTTCTAGTTCTGTTCTAGTTCTGTTCTAGTTCTGTCTAGTTCAGTTCTAGTTCTGTTCTAGTTCTGTTCTAATTCTGTTCTAGTTCTGTTCTAGTTCTGTTCTAGTTCTGTTCTAAGTTCTGTTCTAGTTCTGTTCTGTTTGTTCTAGTTCTGTTCTAGTTCTGTTCTAGTCTGTTCTAGTTCTGTTCTAGTTCTGTTCTAGTTCTGTTCTAGTTCTGTTCTAGTTCTGTTCTAGTTCTGAGTCTGTTCTAGTTCTGTTCTAGTTCTGTTCTAGTTCTGTTCTGTTCTAGTTCTGTTCTAGTTCTGTTCTAGTTCTGTTCTAGTTTCTGTTTCTAGTTCTGTTCTAGTCTGTTCTAGCTCTGTTCTAGTTCTGTTCTAGTTCTGTTCTAGTTCTGTTCTAGTTCCGTTCTAGTTCTGTTCTAGTTCTGTTCTAGTTCTGTTCTAGTTCTGTTCTAGTTCTGTTCTAGTTCTGTTCTAGTTCTGTTCTAGTTCTGTTCTAGTTCTGTTCTAGTTCTGTTCTAGTTCTGTTCTAGTTCTGTTCTAGTTATGTTCTAGTTATGTTCTAGTTATGTTTCTAGTTATGTTCTAGTTCTAGTGTCTACATTATTCTAGTCATTGAACTTCTATGAACTTATCGATTGTCTAGGCTATGGTCTATCCTATTGGCTAATCTATGGAGTAGTTGATCTAGTAGTCTGAGATCTATTGTCTAGTCCATGTTCGAATCTAAAAGCAATAGTCATTTAAATGCTTTATTAAGTCTTTTGAATATTCTAAGGATTAGTCTATTAACCAGTAGTTGCAGTCGGTTTAAAATGGTATTAAAAACTCTCTATTATTTTTTACTCAGAAATCGAGTGAAAACATTATAATTTATCAAATAATATCTAAACAACAACATTTAAAAATACATACAAGCAGCAACAACGATAAAATAAGAAAAACCATAAAAATAAAACTGAAATAAAGAAATACAGTTAAAATCTGAAAACGAATAAGAAAAGTGGAGCCATCAAATAGATTTTTGTAGTTGTACACTGCAAATAAAAGGAAACAATAGTTTACACTGCAAATAAATTGAAACAAAAGAGAAACACGCTTAGTCAAGAGAGAAAACTTAAGATTTTTTAAAGAAAAAAATTAACTTACACAATTTGTTTAACAATATATAAAATACTTAAAGCAAAAGTGTGGGTTTTTTTTCAATAAAAGTTAAATTGAAAAAAAAATTTATTAAAAGGAAAAAGTTTAAAAAAAGAGATGGTGGTATAAAGTTGAATTTGGAAACTGTTAACAGTTTTTTTTTTTAATACACATTTTTAATACATAGTTGTATTTATAATAAAAGTATATACACGCACACACAAATAAGTAGGCATATATATGTAAATGTATGTGAAATTAAAAGAACCGGCTAACCTGGACTTAGGGGCAATGTTGGCGGTTCGCCCATATCGTTTGTCCGGACTGGAGCGACCATGACTACTACTGCCACAACAACTACTCACTGGTGAAGATCTATGAGTTGATGTGAAATTAAATCCAATATTTAAATTTAATTGACTCGATGATGCGTGTCGGCTATTTAGTTTTTTGATTTTTTTTGATTTTTTTTTTTTGTATTTGTTTGTTAACAATGAGTTGTATTTTTTTATTGGAAAAGGATTAAAAAGAACCAAAACGAAAAAGCATATAAACAAAAACAAATAAAGAAAGAGAAAAAGAAAAACAAACAAGAGATATTCAAATTGAGAGGAGGTTGCATTGTGGTGGGGGGGGGAAAAAAAGGAAAGGGCAAGGGAAGGGGAAGAGGGGGGAAGGAAGGAGGGGGGAAAGAAGGGGAAAGGAGGGAGGAAGGAGAGGAGGACGACCAGAACAGACAGGGCGGGACGGGAAACGGGGAGAGCGAGCGAGCGAGCGAGCGAGCGAGCGAGCGAGCGAGCGAGCGAGCGAGCGAGCGAGCGAGCGAGCGAGCGAGCGAGCGAGCGAGCGAGCGAGCGAGCGAGCGAGCGAGCGAGCGAGCGAGAGAGCGAGCGAGCGAGCGAGCGAGCGAGCGAGCGAGCGAGCGAGCGAGCGAGCGAGAGAGCGAGCGAGCGAGCGAGCGAGCGAGCGAGCGAGCGAGCGAGCGAGCGAGCGAGCGAGCGAGCGAGCGAGCGAGCGAGCGAGCAGCGAGCGAGCGAGCGAGCGAGAGAGCGAGCGAGCGAGCGAGAGAGCGAGCGAGCGAGCGCGAGCGAGGAGCGAGCGAGCGAGCGAGCGAGCGAGCGAGCGAGCGAGCGAGCGAGCGAGCGAGCGAGCGAGCGAGCGAGCGAGCGAGCGAGCGAGCGAGCGAGCGAGCGAGCGAGCGAGCGAGCGAGCGAGCAGCGAGCGAGCGAGCGAGCGAGCGAGCGAGCGAGCGAGCGAGCGAGCGAGCGAGCGAGCGAGCGAGCGAGCGAGCGAGCGAGCGAGCGAGCGAGCGAGAGCGAGCGAGACGAGCGAGCGAGCGACGACGACGACGAGCGAGCGAGCGAGCGAGCGAGCGAGCGAGCGAGCGAGCGAGCGAGCGAGCGAGGAGCGAGCGAGCGAGCGAGCGAGCGAGCGAGCGAGCGAGCGAGCGAGCGAGCGAGCGAGCGAGCGAGCAGCGAGCGAGCGAGCGAGCGAGCGAGCGAGCGAGCGAGAGAGCGAGCGAGCGAGCGAGCGAGCGAGCGAGCGAGCGAGCGAGCGAGCGAGCGAGCGAGCGAGCGAGCGAGCGAGCGAGCGAGCGAGCGAGAGCGAGCGAGCGAGCGAGCGAGCGAGCGAGCGAGCGAGAGGCGAGCGAGCGAGAGAGCGAGCGAGCGAGCGAGAGCGAGCGAGCGAGCGAGCGAGCGAGCGAGCGAGCGAGCGAGCGAGCGAGCGAGCGAGCGAGCGAGCGAGCGAGCGAGCGAGCGAGAGAGCGAGCGAGCGAGCGAGAGCGAGCGAGCGAGCGAGCGAGCGAGCGAGAGAGAGCGAGGAGAGCGAGAGCGAGAGCGAGCGAGCGAGCGAGCGAGGCGAGCGAGCGAGCGAGCGAGCGAGCGAGCAGCAGCGAGCGAGCGAGCGAGCGAGCGAGCGAGAGCGAGCGAGCGAGCGAGCGAGCGAGCGAGAGAGCGAGCGAGCGAGCGAGCGAGCGAGCGAGCGAGCGAGCGAGCGAGCGAGCGAGCGAGCGAGCGAGAGAGAGCAGGAGAGCGAGCGAGCGAGCGAGCGAGCGAGCGAGCGAGACGAGCGAGCGAGCGAGCGAGCAGGCAGCGAGCAGCGCGAGCTACGAGCAGCGAGCGAGCGAGCGAGCAGCGAGCGAGCGAGCGAGCGAGCTAGCGATCGAGCGAGCGAGATCGAGGAGAGAGCGAGCTATCGATCTATCTATCTATCTATCTATATCTATCTATCTATCTATCTATCTATCTATCTATCTATCTATCTATCTATCTATCTATCACTTGAGTGAAAAATACTACGGACTAAATAGTATGTATTATAACAAAAACTATTAGAACTCACAGTTTCCTCCCTTTTTGAATATTCAAAAAAACAAATCTAAATTTTCCAAACCAAATCTTGACCATGAAAGTGTGAGGCGGAGGAGGAGTAGCATGTAATTATTTAATTGTTTATATGTCGTGTGATAATAAACATGCATGCACTACTTCATATCTCAGGAATATAATTTTTGTTGGGGGCGCCAATTCATATGAAACAATTATATGTATTTGTTTATTAGTCACTTATATATTTAGTTTAATATAGATCGATTATTTTTTGTTCTTTATAATTGTTTCAACTTCAGTGTGTTAGGATTTTAATGACCTTCAATAATTATTATTTTTTATATAGACAAAATAAAAGAGCGTGACCCTTACAAAATTCCCTTAAGGGAATGAATAAACTAAATTTCTTTTAGTGTATCGAGAGATATAAAGTTTATTATTAACAAATTATTATTGTTTATGAGCACAAAGGTTATAAATTTACAAATTGTAGGGTGTGCAGGATATGTAACGGCAAAATCCCCACAGAGAAATAAGAAAAGAAAGACGTCAGTGAATATGAAAAGAGTTTTCATCTATTTGTTTTAAAGTATCCAAAAGTTTTAGCAAATATTAAAATTTTAATCACAAAATGAACTCTGACTTCTAAGGTGAAATGTTTGGCTAGGGAATAAATACCTCGACTTTCTATTTTATGGAATTACTCTCTGCTTAATGATAAACAATTTTATATTGCCTTTAAATGTTTGGGTTTGAGCTTGATTAGAGAATAATAATAAAGATAAGAAAATCAAAAAAAAACAACCTTTGACCTGTACAGAGAAAAGGTCACAATCATGTTATTGTTTTGAAGTAACCATGTGCCTTTGAAACAAAAGTTAAGTGCAAGTTTCTAAAATATATTTTTCTAGTGATACGAATACAATTTCATCATTGTAATAAACAAATACAAAAGAATGTTAAAATATTTTAATTGTATAAAAACAGATGTAATATGAAACGACTGATTTGTGATGTTGATGACATTTTCGGAAAGATTTTTTTTTGTTAAATTTGTTATTAATTCTGTTCTTTGTTTTTATATACCTGCTCTTTTTTGTTGAATTTCTTTTGTGTCTTTGAAACCACCATTCAAATGTATCACTAACATCTGACAAACTATCACTACTTTTCAATGGTTTATGTTGATTATTATCATAATTATGATGTGGTTGCTGTTGGAGATGTTGTTGTTGTTGTTGATGATGGTGTTGGTGGTGGTGATGTTGTTGATTTGTTGTGGTATTATGTTGATGTGATGACCGCTGTGGTAAATTGTGATGAGGCGAGGAGAGTGACTCGTTAACATCATTTTTCGATGCGGAACGACTATTGCAAAATAGACCAGCAAAACCACGAGAAGAACTAGAAAAGGAATGTTGTTGTTGTTGTTGCTGCTGATGCTGAGTAGCCGATGGTGGCGAAGTCAATAGGGAATTGTTTTTAAAACCACACAGACTGGTGGTTGTTGTAGAAGTGGAATTATTATTTATGCTACAAGTATTATTATTATGTGTTGCAGTTAATAGTTTACTAATAGACTGACGACGCGCCGCTAAACTATTATTAGCACTGGCTGATGTGGGAGCCGATGTGGAACATAAATATGAACTATTAGCTGTAGCTGGTCCGGTGGCACAGACATTGGCCGATGAAATGGCAGAGGATATAAAACACGATGTTGATGACGAGCAAGCGGCGGCCGCATTATTCAGTAGCGATGAGAAATGATTTTGCTGATGCAAAAGATGGGAAGGACGCTGATGATGATTGTACGACGATGAAGAAGTGTGTAATTTAAGGTTTGCAATCGATGAGGAAAAGGAAAAATGTTGTTGTTCGACATCGACCGCAGCATTACAGGCCGATGCCGCCGACAACGAGGGTGTAGGCGAGCAGGCGGCATTCAATGTATTTAGAGTAGGACTAGTTGTGGCATTAGCCGTTTGTGTGGCACATTCACAATCACAGTTACATACAGGCGACATAGATGATGTTAGCAAATCATAATCACGTTCCGATTCTTCATTAGAGGAAAAATTCAAACAACTCCCCGAAGGGCATGCCGAACAAGATGTCGTTGTGGTATCACGACTATTTGAAAGATTTGATGATTTTCCCGTCAATTCGGAGTGTGTGCTAATAGTAGTAGTGTTATTATGTGTGTTGATGGTACATTCATCAGGCGGACCAGGACCTTTTGGGATTTTTTTTGTTTTGTTTTCATTTTGTTTGGTTTATAAGTTTTTCAATACAATCACGCATTCATTACATTTATAGTTTATATAAAGTATATTTATAAATATGTGGTTGTATTATTAAAAAATTTCTTAATTCTTAATATTAGTTAGATTAATCTAGTTGTATAATAATAATGTCGGAGGGGTAAATAGAATAACAATTTGGTATTAAAACACTTCTTGTTCCCAACAAAAAATATGCTGAACTTCCAGCGAAATAACATGTTGCATGTTAAATTTTTCCTAGAACTAGTTCCCAGAGTGACAATTTCGAATAAAGAACAACCATTAAAGATTTGCTTAAGAATAGTTCTATATAGGAAGAATATTGGCTATTAACTAGTCTATATAATAGACCTGGCAATAGACTAGTACTTACTCAAATCCAGACTAATTCTTGGACTTGTTTATGGGCTAGTTTATTGACTATTCTATGGACTGGTCTATAAATAAGTCTATGGACTATGTACTTTATTTACTGGGCTATGGAAAGATCTATAGACTAGTCTATTCATTGTTCTATGAAATAGTCTATAGACTTGTGTATTGAATAGTTTATGGACTGGTCTATTGACTAGTATATTGTCTAATCTATGGACTAGTGCGTGAACTTGGTTTTTAACTAGTCTATTGATTGAACTGTGGAACTATATTGGTCTAGAACTGAACTGGAACTGAACTGGAACTGAACTAGAAGTGAACTAGAACTGAACTAGAACTGAACTAGAACTGAACTAGAACTGAACTGAACTAGAACTGAACTAGAACTGGACAAGAACTGAACAAGAACTGAACTAAAACTGAACCAGAACTGAACCAGAACTGAACCAGAACTAGAATTGGACTAGAACTGAACTAGAACTGAACTAGAACTGAACTAGAACTGAACTAGAACTGAACTAGAACTGAACTAGAACTGAACTAGAAATGAACTAGAACTGAACTAGAACTGAACTAGAACTGACTACTAGAACTGAACTAGAACTGAACTAGAACTGAACTAGAACTGAACTAGAACTGAACTAGAACTGAACTAGAACTAGAACTGAACTAGAACTGAACTAGAACTGAACTAGAACTGAACTTAGAACTGAACTAGAACTGAACTAGAACTGAACTAGAACTGAACTAGAACTGAACTAGAACTGAACTAGAACTGAACTAGAACTGAACTAGAACTGAACTAGAACTGAACTAGAACTGAACTAGAACTGAACTAGAACTGAACTAGAACTGAACTAGAACTGAACTAGAACTGAACTAGAACTGAACTAGAACTGAACTAGAAATGAACTAGAAATGAACTAGAACTGAACTAGAACTGAACTAGAACTGAACTAGAACTGAACTAGAACTGAACTAGAACTGAACTAGAACTGAACTAGAACTGAACTAGAACTGAACTAGAACTGAACTAGAACTGAACTAGAACTGAACTAGAACTGAACTAGACTGAACTAGAAATGAACTAGAAATGAACTAGAACTGAACTAGAACTGAACTAGAACTGAACTAGAACTGAACTAGAACTGAACTAGAACTGAACTAGAACTGAACTAGAACTGAACTAGAACTGAACTAGAACTGAACTAGAACTGAACTAGAACTGAACTAGAACTGGACTAGAACTGAACTAGAACTGAACTAGAACTGAACTAGAACTGAACTAGAACTGAACTAGAACTGAACTAGAACTGAACTAGAACTAGAACTGAACTAGAACTGAACTAGAACTGAACTAGAACTGAACTAGAACTGAACTAGAACTGGACTAGAACTGAACTAGAACTGAACTAGAACTGAACTAGAACTGAACTAGAACTGAACTGGAACTGAACTAGAACTGAACTAGAACTGAACTAGAACTGAACTAGAACTGAACTAGAACTGAACTAGAAATGAATTAGTGTATGGACCAATTTATGGATTACTTTAGTGAATAGTCTATTGACTAGCTTATGGGCTAGTCTATTGACTAGACTATGATCTATAGAGTAGTCTATGAAGTCTATTGACCAGTGTATGAAGCTGACTATCCTCTAGTTTATTGACTAATCTAGGAAAAAATCTATGGATTAGTCTGTAACTAGTATAATGACTATAGTCTATTACCGGATTTATTGACCATTCTATGGACTTATTAACCTGTACTGAAAAAAGTACGTTAGTACAGAATTTTCCATTCCTGTAGTCAATTGGAAGTTCATATTTTTGCTGGGTTACCTATGAAAAACCTTTTTTATCTTAAATATTCTGCTACTTCGATTAATATGTTTAATTAATTTAATTACAATGATAAGCAAAATAACTTAACAACAACGCTTTAACGCCTGCCGTCATTATTGTGTTCTAAATTAGCCCTGCTTAATTACAAACCTGTATAAATTTCAAAAAACTTAATTTGTTCAAAAAAAATAATAAAAAAAAAACAAAATAATACAGTAAAAAGTCGAAAAAAATTGAAAACAAGAAAAATAAATCTCAGTGTAAAAGCATGTTGGCTCTGTTTTTCGACATAAACAACAACAAACAAAATGTTGCTAAACACAAGAAACTTTAGAAAATTTTAAATAAATACAAGGCTATAGAGAAGAAATATGTTTTAAAAATGGAGGCAACTTAAAATTAATTATAAATAAACAATAAAATTATAAATTTATATAAAATATGTAAAAAATTGTAACAAAACAAATCACATTTATTAACACATACACACTCACAAACAACACTGAAGTTTTTACTCATTTTTTTTACACACACAAAAAAAGTTTTACAATAAATATTTGGATATTTATAACGGTTTTTTTTTTTCAAAATTCAAAACAATAAAGTAACAAAACTTAAATATGTAGGTAACACACATAAATAAATGAATAAAGTTTAATGAAAGTTTTATATTGCTATTTTTGTTGTAATTGTTATTAATTATTTCTTTTTTTTATTGTCATTATTTTAGTTTAGGTATTGAAAGAAGTTCGATTTACATGATTTAAAAACTAATTGTTTTCCAACATATAGAAAACATTGGAAACTTAAAGGAACAAATTAAAAAGAACAAAATATATGATTATTTTTAAATATATATGTATATATGTATATATTTATTTTATTTTTTGGGTGAAACTTAAAATATAACATGAAAACGTAACAATTAAAGAAATATTTGTTAAATAGAAAAGTTACAAGTCATAAGTACTAATAGAAGGGTTGTTAAAGGATTAATTAACTTTTTTCTTCCAATAGTTGAAAACAAAGTGTGTTAGTGTAAGAGTCATTAACGACTAGAGGTGTTTAAACAATATAATATTCAAATGATTGTTAATAATTTCTTTTATAAAAAATCATAGCTAGCGACCTTGGTTTTATTAATTGTTTTATACTTTGTTTTTCTAAGATCAATAAACAAATTGTTGTTTTCACTTAAATTGGGTTGATTAAAACATTATTATTTGCCCTTTAGTTCAAAAATGCAAGACTCCTTAAGATAAATATAAGGACTAAAGAACAGACTATAGACCATACAGACTAAACTATAGACTAGACTAGACTATAGACTAAACCATAAGCAAGACTATAAACTAGACTAAAGACTAAATTATAGACTAGACTATAGACTATACTATAGACTAGACTATAGACTAGACTATAGACTAGACTATAGACTAGACTAAAGACTAGACTATAGACTAGGCTATAGACTAGACTATAGACTAGACTATAGACTAGACTATAGACTAGACTATAGACTAGACTATAGACTAGACTATAGACTAGACTATAGACTAGACTATAGACTAGACTATAGACTAGACTATAGACTAGACTATAGACTAGACTATAGACTAGACTATAGACTAAACTATAGACTAGACTAAAGACTAGCCTATAGACTAAACTATAGACTAGATTATAGACTAGACTATAGACTAGTCTAAAGACTAGACTAAAGATTAGTCTAAAGAATAGACTAAAGACTAGACTAAAGTCTAGACTAAAGACAAGACTAAAGACTAGACTAAAGACTAGACTAAAGACCAGACTAAAGACTAGACTATAGACTAGACTATAGACTAAACTACAGACTGGACTTAATAATAGACTATAAACTAGAGTATAAACTAGAGTATGGACTAGAGTATATACTACACTATAGACTAGACTATAGACCAGACTACAGACGAGACTATAGACTAGACTATAGACTAGACTATAGACTAGACTGTAGACTAGACTATAGAATAGACTATAGACTAGACTAAAGACTAGACTATAGACTAAACTATAGACTAAACTATAGACTAAACTATAGACTAAACTATAGACTAAACTATAGACTAGATTATAGACTAGACTAGACTATAGACTAGTCTAAAGACTTGACTAAAGATTAGTCTAAAGAATAGACTAAAGACTAGATTAAAGTCTAGACTAAAGTCTAGACTAAAGACAAGACTAAAGACTAGACTAAAGACTAGACTAAAGACCAGACTAAAGACTAGACTTTAGACTAAACTACATAATAAACTATAGACCATAAAACAGACTATGGACTAAACCATCGTCTAGACTATAAACTAGACTATAGACTACACTGTAGACTAGACTAAATACTATACTAGACTATAGACTAGACTATAGACTCGATTATAGACTAGACTATAGACTAGACAATAGACTAGACTACAGACTATAGACTAGATTATAGACTCGACTATAGACTACACTATAAACTAGACTAGACTATAGACTAGACTATAGACTAGACTATAGACTAGACTATAGACTAGACTATAGACTAGACTATAGACTAGACTATAGACTAGACTATAGATTAGACTATAGACTAGACTATAGAATAGACTATAGACTAGACTATAGACTAGACTATAGACTAGACTATTGACTAGACTATAGACTAGACTATAGACTAGACTATAGACTAGACCATAGACTAGACTATAGACTAGACTATAGACTAGACCATAGACTAGACTATAGACTAGACTATAGACTAGACTATAGACTAGACTATAGACTAGACTATAGACTAGACTATAGACTAGACTATAGACTAGACTATAGACTAGACTATAGACTAGACTATAGACTAGACTATAGACTAGACTATAGACTAGACTATGGACTAGACTATAGACTAGAGTATGGACTAGACTATAGACTAGACTATGGACTAGACTATAGACTAGACTAATTACTAGACTAAAGATTAGACTAAAGATTAGTCTAAAGAATAGACTAAAGACTAGACTAAAGACTAGACTAAAGACTAGAATAAAGACTAGAATAAAGACTAGAATAAAGACTAGACTAAAGACCAGACTAAAGACTAGACTATAGACTAGACTATAAACTAGACTATAGACTAAACTACATAATAAACTATAGACCATAAGACAGACTATGGACTAAACTATCGTCTAGACTATAAACTAGACTATAGACTACACTGT